GTCAGCACAGAGCCCGACGCGGGGCTCGAACTCACAAACTGCGAGATCATGACCTGAGCCGAAGTTGGACGCTCAACTGACTGAGCCCCCCAGGAGCCCCTCTTTTTGAAGATGACAGTTTGAAGATTGGGTCAAACATCAAGAGCCCAGCCGAAAGATCTAACTAAAATGGCAACAGTAGAAGAAGTAAAAGGCAGAGATAATATCTGACCAATTTAAACAAGAAGAAACCTGGCAGTATAATCTTATCAGACAAAATAGAGAGTAAGACAGCACTCAAGGGAATAAGAAAGGGCCTCTTATGAATGACAATGAGGACCAGTCACGGAATGGCGTCCCTTCAAACCGGGTGCAGGGAAGAACTATTAGAAGCATTAGGGGAAGATGCGCAAAACGTCGTGACAGGAGTCAAACAAAGTGCTTGCCGTCTCTGGCGGATCACAGCGACACAAAATAAATAAGGTCTGAAAGATCGAAATGAAATGGCAGTTCAGCTTACTAGCGATACCGTGGAACTTTGTACATACAGAGGACCTCTTCCTGTTCAGTCCCTGTGGAACGTTTACAGAAGCTGGTTAAGCATCACAGTGAATGGGGCGCCTGGGTGGCGCAGTCGGTTGAGCGTCCGACTTCAGCCAGGTCACGATCTTGCGGTCCATGAGTTCGAGCCCTGCGTCAGGCTCTGGGCTGATGGCTCAGAGCCTGGAGCCTGTTTCCGATTCTGTGTCTCCCTCTCTCTCTGCCCCTCCCCCGTTCATGCTCTGTCTCTCTCTGTCCCAAAAATAAATAAATGTTGAAAAAAAAAATTAAAAAAAAAAAAAAAAAAAAAAAAAAAAAAGCATCACAGTGAAGAAAACCCAGATAAATGCCCCAGAGCAGCTCTATTTTCTAGCCCGGTACAATAAAGCTAAGAATTCATTAAAGAGAATGGTTTTCCAAATCAGAATTACAAGTAAAAGCCAACCTGCTGAGATACCTTGGCTTTAAACAGGAAATAAAGACTGTAAATACAGATTATTTATACCCTAATGACAATGATCATCTACACTGAAGCTCTCAGAACATGTCTAATGCTGAACTCGGAGGAAAAACATAGGCAGAAGGGTTTTATCGTTAGAGGTCCAGAAGCTTCCAAAACAATAAGCCAGAGAGAAATTAGGAAAATAATCTAATGATCAAAGCAGAAAAGAACAGGATAATGGGAAAAGAGTTTGAAAATATTCCAAGAGGCGTTGTTTGAAAATCGCCAATAAAAGAGGCCCCCGACTGTCCTCTGTCTTCAGGGGCAGCTCTCCTCTTTCCTTAGTCTTTCAGTGTTAGTGTTTCTACAATGTGAATTTTGGTCTGAAGGCTCTTCTTTTCTTTTTTAAATATTTAAAAAACATTTTTTAAATTTATTTTGAGAGAGAAAATGAGTGAGCATGAGCGGGAGAGGGGCAGAGAGAGAGAGAGAGAGAGAGAGAGAATCCCAAGCAGGCTCTGCACCGTCCGTGCAGAGCCCGACGTGGGGCTCAGTGTCACAAACCGTGAGATCACAACCTGAGCCAAAATCAAGAGCCGGACGCTTAACTGCGACACCCAAGGCAGCCCTCAAATCACTGTTTTTTGTTTTTATTTTTTTTTTTTTTAATGTTTACTTATTTTTGAGAGAGAGAGAGTGTGCAAGCGGGGAAGGGGCAGAGATAGAGGAGGGCAGAGGATCTGAAGTGGTCTCCGTGCTGACAGCAGAGAGCCTGACGCAGGGCTCCAACTCAAGAACTGTGAGATCATGACCTGAGCTGAAACCCAAGAGGTGGTCACTCAACCAACTGAGCCTCCCAGGCGCCTCGCAAATCACTGCTTTTTAACTTGAGCGAACCAGATGCATATGAGTTGCCTTATTCCTACTCCATTTCCAGTCAATCACCCCAAGTCCCATAAATTGATTGATTTTACTTTTTTCCCAAGGGCTCTGTGCTACTGATCTTTCTGGAATGTTGCTCTCATTCCCGAATCACCTTAACACCCGGATTCCTAACCTTTTTGTGCCATGGACCCCCTTTCACAGTCTCATGAAGTTGTGAGCTCATTTATTTATTTATATTTATTTATTTATTCATTTAAGTAATCTCTACACCCAGCGTGGGGCTCGAACTCACAACCCTGAAATCAAGAGTCACACGCTCCACGGAGTGAGCCAACCAGGCACCCCTGTGAATGCTTTTCAGTACGTGAGAGAAAATACATTAAGATTTCAGAGGAAGTCACGTACATTGAAATATAATGGAAACGTTAAAAAGGCAAATTTCTGATTTTACAATACATGCTTCTTTTGGAATGTCTAGTTACTTTCAAAGCAGTGGCGAGCATAAAAGCTATACTGTGGTGTCTGCAGGTTTTTATTGGTCCAAGTCACGGGTACTGCTGCTTCTACCGTGGTTTGTTGTCTGCACTCATAATTTAAAGATAAACTAAACTTCAGAAGTTAGTGAACATAAAGATACAACTTTTTCCTCCCCCAAGTTTCACAGAACCCCTGAATCTGTTAGTGGGCACCCCTGATTAAACATCTTCTGCATTGGGGTGCCTGGGCGGCTCAGTCGGTGAGCATCTGACTCTTGGTCTCTGCTCACGTCATGATCTGGTTGTGTGGATTCAAGTCCCCGGTTCGGCTGTGCGCTGACTGTGCGGAGCCTGCTTGGGAGTCTCTCTCTCCCTCTCTCTCTGCCCCCCCCCCCCCCACTTGCTGCCTCTGTCCGTCTCTCACAGTCAATAAATAAACCTTAAAAAATATTCTCCCGCATTAGGGATTCCTACTTATCCTTTAAATTTTATTCCCAATGTCGATTCCTCAAGGGAGGCCATTTCTGACTCCCAGACTAGATCAGATTTCTGTTTGACTGTTACGGCAACCTACACTCCTCCCCCACCGCCTCTCCCTCGCCCTTCCCTTCCCACGAGTGATGGTGGTGGCGGTACATTCGTGTGCTGGTTGACTGCCTCTCTTCCCCATGACACTTGCAGCTGGGATAGTACCTCATAGTAGGGGCTCAGTAAACATCAGTGGCGTAAATAAACCTTGAGAAGGCTATCAAAGTCATTGGTCCTAATTTGTTACATTAGTAAGAGGAAAAGAGCTTGGTACGTTTGAGGTGCTGAATGAGGATTAGTGCCTATAACCTCTGTCTTAACTTAGTCGATGTGGGCTGCTATAAGAATACCATAGACTGGGTGGCTTATAAACAGTAGGAACTTCTTTTTCCTATTCTAGGGGCTGGAAGTCCAAGATCAGGTTGTCAGGATGGTCAGCTTGTGGTGAGGGCCTTCTTCTGGGTTCTGGACTGCCACTTTCTCATTTTATCTTCACATGGCAGAGCAGAGAGAGGAAGTAAACTCTCCTGACTCTTAAAAGGGTACTGATCCCATTCGCAAACGCTCCATCCTATGACCTCATCGCATCCTGATCGCCCACAAAGGCCCGACCTCCTAATACCATCACATGGGGGTGGGTAAGAGTTTCAACGTATGGGTTTGGTGGGGGCGGGGCACAAACCTTCAGTCCAGAACCACCATTTTTAGAGACGCACAGTTATATGGAGCTGCAGTCAGGATATGTAGGGAAAAGGTAGTCTCAGTAACTAAAGAGCACGGGGCTTAGGAACACATTAGGGAATTAGACAGAGGGCACAAGTTCATGAGCAAAAAAGAGAAGGGTAATTTTTTTTTTTTTTAATGCTTATTTTTGAGAGCCAAAGCACGAGCGGGGGAGGGGCAGAGAGAGGGAGACCTAGAATCCAAAGCAGGTTCCAGGCTCTGAGCTGTCAGCACAGAATCCGACGGGCTCAAACCCACAAACTGCGAGATTATGACCTGAGCCAAAGTCGGACCCTTAAATGAGCCACCCAGGCACCCCAAGAATGTCTTTATTCTTTTTTTTTTTTAATGTTTATTTTTTTGACAGAGACAGACAGCATGAGTGGGGGAGGGGCAGAGAGAGAGGAGACACAGAATCCAAAGCAGGTTCCAGGCTCTGAGCTGTCAGCACAGAGCCTGATGCGGGGCTCGAACTCACCACCCATGAGGCCATGATCTGAGCTGAAGTCGGCCGCTTAACCGACTGAGCCACCCAGGCGCTCCGAGAAGGGTCATGTTTATGGACACGCCCACCCTGTCACCTCCACCCCTGCGGGTCCTGCCATTGCATTTCCTGTATTGTTTTGTTCAGGCCTGGTATGTGGTGGTCTTTGTTAACTGGATATTGTGGAGGTAAAGCCCACAATTTTTTTGGTTGGTGATGTGTTCACGCCGAGATGTGGTCTCGTAGGCCTTTAAATGACACTTTTTAAAAACGCGTGTGTATGTATTCTTTCTCAGAATGTCACAGGTAGACTCATGGTTGGTCTGCGTTGGTGGAATCACATAGACGAAGATGGAAAAAGCCATTGGGTGTTTGAGTCCAGGAAGGTAAACTGCCCTTTTTATTTTTCAAAGTGTCATTCAGTAAGTTACATGTAGATTACACTTGCATGTTGAAGGCCAAAGCGTTCAGGACTGGAAGTGCTAACCCACATTGCTCGGCACGTCAGCACTAAACCAGACGGCCTCCCAAAACTTAGCTGCGTTTTTCTGTCTAGTTGAGATTGGAAGAAAGGCATGTACGGGAAAGAAGCCTCTGAGACAGGAGGTTGGGTCAGAGTTTGTGCTGTGTGCTAAGCCGCCCATCACGGGCTGCTGATAAAGCATCTCTGAGGACCCACCGCGTTGTGTTGCCTCGCCTGGTACCTCCGGGGATTTCTTCCTGTTAGGAGAGAACTGCTTCCACTAGCTTGTTCTGTCCTTGTTCCCATGGTCCACTGCCCCGTGTGCGCAGGAACAAGAAGAAGAAGGATTACAAGTGGATAGAAAATCTGAATTGATCAGAGCCGTCTCTCCTTTAAGCCTCTGCCTTCAAGAGCCCCAGGGGAGGCTGATCTGTTTTGGGTTAGCCTGCTCATCTGCGGTGAACATTCAGGTTCCCCTGGAGATCGGCTTGAGAGGCAGAGGACAGAATTCTTGGAGATGCTACTAATTACATTGTTGGCCTGATGCTCGGAAGGGCCTCGACAAGTACCACTTGCAAGGAAGCAGTGTTGTGCTTAGTACTCCTTATATCATAAAATCCACCGTGGAGGCAAGTCAAACAAGAAAGTTAAACTTTCTGGGGATTGCTGAAACACTGTGGTCATCGTCCAGAATCCCTTGATTCCATTTCTTTCTCTGGACCCCTGACCAGGATGACTAGCCTTGATTTCCTTGATCCTTACCTCCTAAGGTGTGATTCCAAACTTCCTTATGAATAAACAGTGTTAGGTGCAGTGAGAATGGAACAGAAGTCCATCACAAGCAACGTTTTCTGTGTTGGGTCATGACAGACTGTCCACTCGGCCCTGAAGGTACCAAATTCTTGAGTTAAAGCATATTTAAGCCAGTTCTTAAGATTAAATCGTGGTGGGTCCACTAACTGTCCTTTGGGGGGTTCTAACTTGGGACTTGGGTCATTTGTATTAATTTATTTGACTTTTAGATTATGGTGTTTGTCATTAAAAGTGTTAAGCTTTTTACTGGTAAATACCACAATATTGGTTATTAAACTCACGCTTTTTTTTTAGGATTCTGCTCAAGAGAGTAAAACTGTTTCCGAGGCCGAATCGAGAATCTTTTGGTTAGGACTAATTGCCTGTCCGGTGCTGTGGGTGATATTTGCCTTCAGTGCGCTGTTCTCCTTCAGAGTGAAGTGGCTGGTGAGTGTCAGCGTAGACATACCGAGTGATTCATCAGGATGTCTGACGGACGATCACAGTATGCGGCCATTGGTGTTAACATTGGGGACCTCACTCTCTTGAATAGACTGCTTCATCGCCAATTTCCCAAGTCCAGTGTCCCAACTCTGCCGTTCTCTGAGAACCGGAGAGCAGGATCCTCTCAGAGTTCCCATTTCACCAATTCCCCAAGTGCCTAGCAGGATGTTGACTTCACCCACCTGGTACAGAGGTTACCATACATTTATCACATTATTATCTTGTTGGATGGGGATGTTCAATAAACTCCAGACAAACACGTTTAGCCTAGTTTGGAACTAACAGAGTGATCCTCTCTGAAAATCTCAGTTGGTCATTTGTTCCGGTTGTCCATTGCTTATATCGTAAATCTTCCCAGAATGTAACGTCTTAAAACAAGAGACATCTTGGGATCTCACAGTTTCTGGTTCAGGAAGTTGGAGAGAGCTTGTCTGGGAGGTTGTGGGCTGGGCTCCATGTGGTTGCAGTCAGTGGCTGGGGCGGCTGGAGGCCGGTAAGGCATCTCCTTTCTGTGAGGTCCCGTGGCTTCTCCATGTTGTGCTCCCAAAGGGCCACTTGGGGTTTCCTCTCGGCATGGTGGCTTCGTGACAGTGAGACTGCTTCCTTGGAGGGTCACAGCTCCAACTGGGAGCGTTCTGCTCAGAAGCTGAATTGCCTTCTACAACTGTGTTAGTTTGCTGCAGCTGTCCCGATGGGGTGCTGCATTCTGGGAGGCTTAAACAACAGAACTTTATTTTCTCACAGTCCTGGAGGCTAGAAGAGCCAGACCAAGATGTTGGCAGGGTTGATTTCTTCTTTCCGAGGCCTCCCTCCCTGGCTTGTGGATGGCCGTCTTTTCCTGCTTTCTTCCATGTGGTCTTTCCTCTGCGTGTCTGTGTCCTAATCTCCTCTTTTTACAAGGACGCCGGTCATACCGGGTGAGGGTACCCCCCCTCCCCACCCCCCAGTGACTTCATTTTACCTTAATCAGCTCTTTAAAAACCATGTCTCCAAATGCAGTGACATTCCGAGGTACTGGGTTAGGACTTCGACATTAGAATTTGGGGGAGACACAGTTCAGGCAATGGCAGCAATCAAGGCCCAGAGGTCATCACTTTTGCCACTTCTCCACTGCAGTGGAATGGGAATTAAGCTTGATAGCTTGATGAGGGGGATCAAGAGGTTCTAGAAAAGCATATGGGATATTGTTGTATCATCTTTGGAAAATATAACCTATCACTTGATCTAAACTGTGAGTCTTGTTTTCATAGTTGAGTTTATCTCAGTATTTTTTTAAATGATTTTTTAAAATTTATTTTGAGAGCGAGAGAGAGAGAGAGAGAGAGAGAGAGAGTCCCAAGCAGGCTCTGCACTGTCAGCACAGGCGCGATGCGGGGCTTGAACCCACAAACCGTGAGATCATGACCTGAGCCGAAATCAAGAGTCAGGTGCTTAACCGACTGAGCCACCCAGGCGCCCCTCACTTAACATTTATCGATACCAGGTATAGTTTGGCCTTAATTATGTTTTTTCCTCACATTTTTAATATTTTCTTGTGTCTGTTTTGCTACATAGGCTCTTTTTTCTTTGCGTATGCACATACATACTTGTCTTTTTGGGATTTGGAAGGTTTATGGTGTGTTTTTGGCGTTTCTAGTAGTTCTCTGTTACTTTAGACCTTTTGTTTCACCTGCTCTTTCATGGATTAGGAAACCTGTACCGGTTCCCTGCTATGATGGACGGTGCAGTTAACAGCCCTGCTTCCTCCCCCTCCTCCCTGCTTCCACCTTTGGATTTCTGCGGCTTATAGACTTAACTTTAGTTGTTTTAAGTATCGTCCTTAAGCCTGTGTCTTGACCTCGAGAGTCTGTTGGAAAGGAAATGAGATAAACCCTCCTCTGTGCCTCCTGTGGTTTCTTCCCTTCCTGTATTGCCTGAGTTTTGTTTGCTGCGGTATTCATCTTGTTGTCAAGGTTCCTGACAATCACCCTTGGAAACCTTTCTTACCGGTTGTTCAGTCTTTGATCTGTTTTTAAATACATTGATTCAGTTCTTTTAACTGCAGTTTTTGCTTTTACCCCCTGGTTGGCTAAATTTCATGGCTGGGTATTTTTTTTTTTTTTCCCCAAGAAACTTGCAG